TGGGCGGCGGCAGAGCTCGCGTCACCTTTGTGTCTCCGGCAGGTCTCCGCGGGAGATGGCCTTTGCCCGCCGGAGGGGTTTCCCTCAGGCCCTGCAGCACGCGGGTGGCTCTGGAGGGCATCAACAAGCCCGTCATAGACCGCATCATACGGGTGGACCACGCGGGGGAGTACGGGGCGAATCGCATTTATGCGGGGCAGATGGCCGTCTTGGGTAGATCAAGTGTGGGACCGATTATCCAGGTTAGTGGACATAAAAGTGATCGCTGTGTTTCTGGTTAATTTGCATGTGATAAACAATAGTCGAATGAAGTTGTAAGACCATAGCTTTCATAGTAAAATAGCTGTCCATCTTTTTCTAAACACGTTTAAACATGTGGGTTTATGAAGAGTGGCGGAATTACTTGGTAAGGGAGTTACCAGTACTACAATTGCTATAGTATTGTCACAAAGACTCTTATTTTGCAAATGTTTTTATGTTACCTATTTATAACTATCCTCATCTGCTCTTCTTTAATATTTCTTCTTTGTGATGTGAATAGTATTACCTCTGCAGTCAAAGAGTGAGTGGCCTGAGCTGTTTTGTTTTTCTTTGTGTTTATTAGTTTTATTGGAAATGTTTAGTTTTTCTGGTTTTATACTTTACTGTGATCTGGTTCTTTTGCAGCAAATGTGGAATCAAGAAAAAGACCACCTGAAAAAGTTCAATGAACTAATGGTTGCGTACAGAGTTCGACCTACTGTTTTATTGCCTTTTTGGAACGTAGCAGGTTTTGTTTTAGGTGAGTCTGTATTATTACTATTATTGTTGTTTTGTGAAGTCTTCAAATGTGTAAATTATTTGTATTGCTTAAGATTTCATTGTTTGTATATGTTTGGTACCACAATCACAGGGGCTGGAAGTGCTTTACTTGGAAAGAAAGGTGCAATGGCTTGCACAGTGGCAGTGGAAGAGAGTATATCAGATCACTACAACAGCCAGATCCGAACTCTTATGGAGGAAGATCCAGAAAAGTACAAAGAACTATTGCAGGTATTTAACTACAACTTAAAAAGTGGTTTAACATATGCATTGAATTATCTAATGTGACTTTAGTCTTTCAAAATAATATGCTCATAGAATTTACAGTAGCTGAAGTCAACAGAAACTTCAAGTTTCTTTTAAGTAAAAGGATGTTTTTTCCTTCAGCAGCACTAGATTGATCAAGCAGCAAAATTAAAATGTATGTTGGATTAGCTTCAGCATGCTTTCAGTAATTCAGCATTTCCCTTTTGATTGGGAGAACTATGCTTTAATTTTGATTAGTTTTCATTGAAAGGAAGGGTTTAGAGGGGAAACAAAAGGAGAAAATGTGATTGCGTAGTAACATTTTGCTTATACTGGATATGATTATATAGTTAGAATAGAATAGAATATTTGGGTTGGAAGGGACCTGCAATGATGATCTAGTCCAACTGCCTGACCAGTTCAGGGCTGACCAAGTTAAAGCATGTTATTAAGGGCATTGTCCAAATGCCTCTTAAACACCGACAGGCTTGAGGCATCAACCACCTCTCTAGAAAGCCTGTTCCAGTGTTTGACCACCCTCTCAGTAAAGAAATGCTTCCTAATGTCCAGTCTGAGCCTCCCCTGGTGCAGCTTTGAACCATTCCCACATGTCCTATCACTGATCCCAGGGAGAAGAACTCAGCACCTCCCTCTCCACTCCCCCTCCTCAGGAAGCTGTAGAGAGCCATGAGGTCGCCCCTCAGCCTCCTCTTGTCCAAACTAGACAAACCCAGTGTCCTCAGCCGCTCCTCATAGGACATTCCTTCCAGCCCTTTCACCAGATTTGTTGCCCTCCTCTGGACACATTCAAGGACCTTCACATCCTTCTTAAATTGTGGGGCCCAGAACTGCACGCAGTATTCAAGGTGAGGCCGTACCAATGCTGAACACAGCGGGACAATCGCCTCTTTTGATGGCTGGCTGTGCGGTGTTTGATGCACCCCAGGATGCCGTTTGCCCTCCGGGCTGCCAGGGCACCCTGCTGACTCACACTGACCCTGCTGTCAGCCAGCACCCCGTTCAAGTTCTAGTCTTGAATACTGTTCAGAGCATGTAAGGAGCTAATGTTAGTTAGCTCTGCAAAAAAATTATTTCCCAAGTATTTTAGGCATCAAATTGGGACACATTCCTGTAGGGTGCTTGTGAGAGACTGACCTGTTTCCACATGCAGCACATCGAGCTTGTTTGTGCTCTGTTTGGTGGGAGCTTGCTTTAGGGGTCCACATGTTCATTTCCAATTTTGCTGACTATCAATATGTTCCATTTTGCTTAGTTTAACGTGTAGCCAAGTCTGGTTACTCCAAATGTGTCTTCTTGTTGCAGAAATAGTATCTGAAGTAACCCAGGTTTTGGTGACGTGCACAAGGGAAATACTACCCCTTAAAATAAAGACTAAGCTGAGAGGGCACAAAACAAAGAGAAAAAGCTAAGCAGCAAGGTTATTCACAGTGTTAATATGAGGAGGACTAGCGTTGAAACCAAAAGTGATGTGAACCCATTGGGTAGGGACACTGCTTGGGTGTCTGTAAACTCTGAGCACGTTATTAAGCAATCCTAATGGCTTAATATATGCAGGCATCTCGAGAGAAAATTCTTTAAACCTTTTTGTCCCAGTTGAAAAACTAGAAGAGAAAAATAGTGTCCTTTAGAGCATGCTAGAATGGACAAAAGCCCTGTTGGCTTACAGGGAAACACCCTTGCTGATTATCTGGCAAGACAGGGACTTTAATTTCATTCTTTAAATTGTCAGAATAATTTGTATGTATGAAACTAATTAGTGTTATGAGTTACTATGACTGTAGGTTACAGGTTTTCAGATGGTGCATGCAATGGTCTGCAGCATATAGTTTCGTATACTATCTGCCTTGATTTCTCTGCAAAGTAGACTTACTAATTAACTGTTACTTTTAAAGGTAATAAAGCAATTTCGGGATGATGAACGGGAGCACCATGACATTGGGCTTGAGCATGATGCAGAAGCGGTAAGTACAATATTAACTAATTGGCACTGTTAGAATGTAGATGTGATGTAGTTCTTTATTTGAAAAATAGAAGATAAGGCGCTTGATATTCTTTCCCAAAGATAAATCTAAGAAAACACATTATAGCTTTCATTTTTCTGGAACAGAATTGAATCTGTTGGAACTCATGTCGAGTGTTAAAGTGATTGTGTTTTCCTGAGAGGTGTCCTCTGCACAGTTTTTAATTTTATTTTAAGTTTAGATTAAATATTTGTGAAGATAAGGGTAAAAAGTGCTATCCATATGGCTGGGAACTTGAGGCATCAACTTGGTAGACAAACACAACCATGTTAGGAATTGTGAAATACAAATTCTATACTCCCTTGAATACCATATGAGGAATGTGTGACTTCTCTCCTTTCTTTCTCATACATCTGTGGAGAACTGGAAACATTCTACGAAGTTGATAATTTTTAATTTAGTTTTCTCTAGGGTAGGTTAGACTACAAATACAGGTGTGTTTGGTGGCTGTTTTTTGTTTGTGTTTTTGCTTTGTTTTGTTTTTGTTCTTTTAGATAATGCTTACTATTCCTTACCACAAACTGGTTCAAACAAAACACTTCATTAGATGTATTTAATCTCTTATTCTTTGTTTTACAGGCACCGGCTTACTCAGTTTTGAAGACCGCTATACAACTTGGATGCAAAGCTGCAATATTTTTATCAGAAAGAATTTAGTGATATTTTCCATAATGTTTGTGGCAATAAACTGTGACACAAAGGTGTATGGAAATTGCAGAAGACTGATAGTTATTTTATTAAGCCTTTTAAAATTTTCTTCACTAAGCATCCGATTCAGCCATCCTTTGTCACATTGAGTACCCATTCAAAAAGTATCTATATTAAAATCAGTTGAGCTAAATGTGAATAAAGGTGGCAGAATTGGGTCCGTATGAACTACACCTCCATATTCAGAGACTGTTCACAAGGTGGCAGCAAAATATGTATGTATATACATGATTTCTATGTATAATATGTGTGTGTGTGTGTGTATACACACACATAAAAATAAGTACATTCTCTGTTGCCTTCAAATTTATATGTACTTGAAATAAGCTGGAGCTCCTCAGCTCATTTTAAAATGGTTAATACTGACTAAGTAGGATATTTGAGTTCTATTTTCAGGGTAAATAAATGCAGTACTAGTAAGTATTTCTTTTCAGTCCATCTTGAATAAAGATTGGTATTATAAGACTTTCATTTGAAGACTTGTTTGTGGTTTTTTTGTGGGTTTTTTCAGGCTCAATTCTGAATTCTTAAATAAGTAGAATTTTTCTTCCTTTGGGTTTTTTGTTGTTGTTGTGAGGGTTTTGGTTTGTTGTTTTTTTTTTTTCTTTTTCTTTTTTTTTTTTTTTTGTCCTGAGTGTGTGTGTAAGGAATGTATCCCTGATATAAAGCAGGTGGAGAGAGCGACTTGGAGCACCTGTGGAATTGCACTTAATACTCTCTTAGAGCTTTCAAGTTTATCTTACTTTGCTTCTGGTCTTCAGTGGCTCTTGAATAGAGACACTCTTGCTTTCTCAATGTTCCAACAATTTGCCCATGCTTTCTGTTGACAGCCTGGCATGGAGCATTAAAAATAAAAAAGACAAAATCGTGCATGTCTGTTCTGTTAAACAATAATTGAAGATGATAAAAGTACAGCAATGGAATTAGTGTGTCTTAAACTGGTGGGTATGAAAGGGACTTCTTGCAGGATTGTGTTTTTTGCTCTTTGTCTTAAGAACTTCCCGACTATTCCATTCTTTTCCATCATTATGGAAATTGGCTAACTTTTCAAATGCATACAGATTATATAGAAGATCCTGATATCTTGATACAAACATTTAAAGTCCCTGTGAGAGACTTCCATTTTTATAGCTGAGAAGCGTGATCTTTTGATTGTATGTGGCAAGGCAGGGAAACCCTGTGAATAAAATTGCGGGTCACATAGAAAGCACATATCCATGCTTTTCCCCTTATATCCAGCTTCTAAAACTTTGGGGAGATGCAGCTTGTTAGCCATAAGCTAACTTTTGTTTCCCAATTTTATGGGTTTTCCAATTTCTACAGGTTTGTGGGTTTTGCTTTGTTTGGGTTTTTTTTTTCCTTAAGAATAACTCAGCTTGACAGATCGGGGAGCAGAATTTGTTGTATCTCATTTTCTGGTTAAAAGCTATGATGTATTAGAAGTCAATATGTCTTACCCCAGGCAATGGAGTATAACTAATTGAACAGGTCAGCTATGGATGTGGGATGTAATGGATATAAACCTAGTTGAAAAGGAAAGAATTTGGAAACCAAGAAATAAAACAGCAGCAAGTGTTGGCCGTTACTGTCATGAAGAATGGGGCCACTATTGCTGGTCTTGACTTTTACCTTATCTGGCAAAGTCACACAGATATATTGAGGCCAGTTGAGTAGTTTTATTGAGTTTTGCTGTGTGCTGTTTCCAGTTCTGTTGTGCTGACTTTGTAGCTGCTTTGAGACCAGAAGAGGATAAGAAGTGCGCAGCTGCCGGCAGGAATCCAAGGCCTGTGGGAGCATCTCGGAGCATCCAAGCATCTGGGAGCTTGGTGAGGCTTCAGACAGCATTTAATCCAGGTACATCTGAGTCTACCTTTCTGAGTAGCTCTGTTAGTGTTTGTAGGTACTGATTGGTGTGTGATTTGACATGAAAGTCTTCTTAAAGGGGATTGTTTTCCCTTTTTTTTGTGAAGGAGCTTAGACTGAAGGTTAAATCTTAATACAGAAACTCCTGTTCTGTATGATTTATTATGACTGACACTTTGTACATTCTTTAAGAATAATTTCTATCACTTACATCATTGCAAGTGTGGCCTGGTTATACTCAAACTACTGATGTTATTTACATTGTCCAAACAAAGTAGCATTTGGTTCTCTATGAATGACTGGTTTGCACACCCACTGGAATAACTGGACTCAGGGAACTCAAAGCTAAATCACAGATTTTTCAGGGACTGCGTAATAAGAAGATAGCTCTAAGGGATTCTCATTTTATGTGCCTCAGCCCCAGACAGTTGTGAGCAGCATGCATGTAAACTTGAGTTTACTAAAGGTACGTCAAATTAGACTAACACAATATCTTCCCTAACTTGACCAATTCTCTGAACAAAAGTTACATCTAGCAGATTTCTTGCCTTAATTTCTCTAAAGCATTCAATATGCTGTCATGAGGAAAATTCTTAGGTAATTTGAAGAAGAAAGGAATCGGCATAAAAGAATGGTTAACTAAAGTGGCTAAAGGGGTAACAAGTGGTGTTGAAAGAACATGCAGTGCAGTCGTGTAAATCATGGACTTTAATAATTGAGTAAAAAGAGGAGGAAAGATGGCTTGATGAATAGTCCATTGTAAAGTCTAATAACAGGGGCAGCATGGGACGGCATCTTTTATAATCCATTATTAGAACTGGGGAGGGAGGGGCACAGTATGGTTTGACTCAAAGCTGGAAGTTGCACTCCAAAGCATACAATGATCTTGTGACGTAAACTGGAAACCAAGCCAGAGAGTTTCCTGGTCTCTTAGCCATTACATCAGGATTGAATACTGGACAAGGCATCTGTGGGGCTTTCCTAGCTAGATGGTACTCAGCTGAAGCCTGATATTCTCCAAGGCAGTGGTTACAGAGATTCTCTGAATATGTCTGCAGTGGTGTTTAACAGCTGGGGATTTGCTGCTGGCGTAGGGAAGCGTTCATGTCATCCTTTGCCCAAGATGTGGGTGGCCTCCGAGACCATCACACATGGCTCACTTGGGACAACAGCATTTAAGAGACAAATCTCATTTTTAATGCGTTTAGTTTGGCCAAAGGCTGGGAACATCAAATACCAGGAAATCACCATGTGAGGTCAGTGTGTTTGGCCATATCTGCAGTAACTGTGAAAGTGCTCACAGCCAGTTCTTTGTCCTCAGCAGCTGAAAACATCCTGCACATTTGAGTAGGCGTCAGACAGTAATACTGCCTCTAGCTGTGAGCATAAAATACGAATCAGGAGAACAACGCTGCTTAATGCTCCCGAGCAGGATTTGTTCCTTCTTTTTACTGGAGCAGCATGTTTGCGCCCATCCATTAAAGTGTGGGTGAGCTGTTCTGCCACTTCCAATGGCTGTGCATTTCCCTGCCCACTGGCAGTTACTCTTTTTTTTGTTGTTTTACATAGAAAATGGAGTTGCATTTCATTTTCCTCATGCAAAAGGGACTTTTTTTTTTTTGTTTAAAAAGCTGTTTCAGATTTTGAAAGACTACAAAATGTGGTGGAAGGTTACAAAAGGACTAGAGATGCTCAAGTGCTGTACAGAACTTCTATTGTACAGCTGCTGCAAGGCTGTAGTTTCCTTTTTATGTTATTTTGAGGCAGAACTAAAGCTGACTACTGTCAGCCATCCTAGCAGGGGTTAATGGCAGGCAGAGGCCAAACTATATAGCTTATACAAGTCTGTTATCATAGTGATCCTCAATGAACTCTGGTCGTGTTGTCAGAGGAAAAGGAACTTGGATCAGACAGGGAGGCTGTGAAATGATGCATTTTCAAAACAGGGGGTGGGGAAGATGACAGGGTATTCACCGTGCCTTTGGGTTTTGGGGCTCCCTTCTGAACTATAAGATAAGCACGTAATTTGGGTCTTGTAATATGCAGTGGGATGGAATCCTTCCCCTCAAAGTAATGAGGGCTTCTTCTAGCTCCTGTGATAACCAAGGGCTTGATCCTGATTTTCTCCTCCAGAAGGAGAGAGAGTTTTATTTTTCGGTGAGGAGGAGCAGAAGGTATCCACCTGTGTGTGTAGGGGGCATAGGGCTGTTATCTGCTCCTTGACCAGCATCTCGCCCCTTACTGTTTCCTCCTGCAATCAGTGCTGGGGCTGATCTGGCCCCTACTCTCCAGAGCTGCTCTGAGTCAGAGATGAAGGTAATGACGGTGCTTGGAGGCGAGTGACTCGGTCAGATGGTGCAGTCCTTGTGCTGCGCATTGGGGCTTTTTCTGGTGCTCTGACAGCTCTGAAGCAGGATCTTTGCACCATCTGTAGGCACCACGCTGGCTTGGGAGGAGGAAAACCCAGCAAAGGAAAGCAAACAGGCAGTGGCAGCTCTATCTCATGAAGCAAGAAGGATGGTTATGAAAATTCAAAGCAGCTCTGAAGATCTGTGGCCCGTCAGTAGCAGCTACCAGGGTGGCAAGGCGCACGTGATGCCATGGCGGTGTAGGTTTGGCTGTGCCAGTACATGTTTCAGTCTCTTGTTGCCGCAGCTGGGCTAGGCAAAAATCAAATCCGCATGGCAGTGATTAATGTGGTGATGCTGACATAAGCTGAATGGACTTACGCCACGAGTTATGTAAAATGGGACTTATAAGATGGTTTGGCAGAGAGCTAAATCATAGTCTGAGATGATAAATATTACAGACAGAAGAAATATCAGATCTAATGGGCTTGATCTTTGTCTGGAGTAAATCTGTGTGGCTCATTTGAGCATAATAGTGCTAGGCTTGCTACAGATCGACTGGGGATATGCCATGCAATTCCTATGCTGGGGATGATATGGATTGTACATCCCTATTTTTTCTTAGCATTTAAGGGGTTGTTTAATCTATACAGTCCCTTGTGTCTGCCTTGTTTCTTGACTTTAGGGAAGATATAATTTCAAATGGGTACCAGTCATTTTTTGTCACTAGCTTCAAAGCTGTGTCATGTCACTTGCATTGAATTCTGCACATATTTTCAGCTTGGGGAGCTTAAAGGGATAAGTCAAAAATATTGGCCAGTTTAAAGGAGGAATGTGTGTGGTAAAGGAGGAGATTGTTTAAAGGTACCATTTTTCTATTTGTTAATTCAGTTTCCCCAGAGTGGCTGAGATGAAAAATTTGAATAGATTTAGAGAATGACAGCAGCTTTGCAGTTGTACTCCCAGAATGGCAGAACTTAACTCACATTAAAGAAAGCTTGCTGACACTCCTGTTTAGAGTTGGGGGGGCTGATCTAATGTTGAGTAAGTGAATTAACAGTTAATTGGAACAGGTTCAGTGGGTAACAGATCTCTAAAACAACTTGACTGTGTTAGAAGGAAAATTCCATTTGTTGTCATTACATGCTTTCAATAAATGTAGCCTCCTGTTCACTTCAGGTGTTTTTGAGAAGTACCACCTTATACTACAGTTTTACAGAGCAGAACCCAAACCTAAGCAGACCAGGGGATGGT